TAGTATTCCATGGTGTGTGTGTGTGTATATATATATATATATATATATATATATATATATATATTTAAAACCACATATTCTTTATCCATTTGTTGATTAATGGGCATTTGGTTCCATATTTTTGCAATTGTGAATTGTGCTGCTATAAATATGTTTGTGCAAGTATCTTATTTGTATAATGACTTCTTTTCCTCTGGGTAGACACCTAGTAATGGGGTTGCTGGATCAAAAAGTAGATCTACTTTTAGTTAAGGAATCTCCACAGTGTTTTCCATAGTGGTTGTACTAGTTTACATTCCCACCAACAATATAAAAATGTTCCCTTTTTGCCACATCCATGCCAACATCTATTATTTTTTAATTTTTTTATTAGGGCCATTGTTGCAGGGGTGAGGTGGTATCACATTGTGGTTTTGATTTGCATTTCTCTGATAATTAGTGATGTTGATCATTTTTCCATGTGCTGTTTAGCCATTTGTATATTTTCTTTCGAGAATTATCTATTCATGTCCTTAGCCCACTTTTAGATGGGACTGTTTGTTTTTTTCTTGCTGATTTGTGTTCCTTGTAGATTTTAGATATTAGTCCTCTGTCAGATGTACAGATTGTGATAATTTTCTCCCACTCTGTGGGGTGTCTTTTAATGCTGCTGATTACTTATTTTGCTATGCAGAAGCTTTTTAGTAAAGTCCCATCTGTTTTTCTTTGTTTTTGTTGCATTTGCTTTTGGGTTCTTGGTCATGAAGTCTTTGCCTAAGCCAGTGTCTAAAAGGGTTTTTCCAGTGTTATCTTCTAGAATCTTTATGTTTCAGGTCTTAGATTTAAGTCTTTCATCCATCTTGAGTTGATTTCTATATAAGGTTGAGAGATCAGGATACAGTTTCGTTCTTCCGCATGTGGCTTGCCAACCACTCCAGCACCATTTGTTGAATAGGATGTCCTTTCCCATTTTATATTTTTGTTTGTTTTGTCAAAGATCAGTTGGCTGTAAGTATTTGGCTGTATTTCCAGGTTTTCT